GAGTGGCCCATTAGCAGCTTTCCCAAAGCAAGCCCACAGCCCGCTTTGAGAAACAATGCACTATAATACCAATACTTTCAGAAGTACTAGCCATAGGTAGTACTAGGCAGTGATACCTCATTTTGCAGTTGTGTATTTGATTATTTTCCTAAGTGAAGTAATCATTGAATTCAGACCAGTTCTCCAATTTATCAAGGCTAGTTCTAATCCTTCAAGTGTTTGAACCCCTCCCAGCTTTGTGTCATCTGCAAATTTTATAAACATTCTCCTCTACTCCATTATTCAAGTAATTAATTAAAATGACAACTAGAACCAGATCCAGGAATGTCCACAGCAGGACTCCGCTACATATTCCCTCCCAGTTTTCCAACAAGCATTGATAACCACTCTTTAAATACAGTCTTTCAACCAGTTATGCACCCACCTCATAAAAATTACATCCAGACCACATATCCCTAGTTTGCTATGAGAATATGTCATATGGAACTGTATGTTAAAAATTTAGCTATAGCATGCCTCCTGCTCCTCCCACCTATCCACTAACCCAGTAACCCTGATAAAGGAGCCAATTGGGCTGGCTTGGCATGATTTGTTCTTAAAAAAATCTATGCCTGATACTCCTTGTAAGTCCATTATCCTCACGATGCATACAGATTGTTTGTACAGTAAGTTGTTTTTCCAGTATTTTTCAGTATTTTTCCAGGTATCATATTTAAGCTCACTAGCCTATAATTGCCAGGGCCCTCGTTCTTCTCCTTTTAAAAGATCGATACTAAGTTTTTCCTTCTCCAATCCTCTGGAATCTCACCCATTTTTTAGGAATTCTCAGAGGTAATTGTGATGGGTTCTGAGATTGCTTTAATTAGTTCCTTAAAACTTTAAGGTTAATTTTATCAAGCCCTTCCAACTTAAATACATTTAATTTATCTCAATATTCTTTAACCTATTTTGGCTTGCATTCCTTCTGCCTTGTTGTTAATATGAATTGTGTTAAGTACCCTTCTTAATGAAAAAAGCAAAATGGCATTATAAACCTCTCCCTCCTATATGTCATCAGTAATTAGCTTTCCTTCCCTGCAAAGTAGAACACTTACCACTCTCCTTCAAATTTCTATAACTCCTAATGTAATTTAACAACCTTTTATTATTGCCTTTTATGTTCCTTTATAGGTGTAACTAATTTTGTGTCTTAGCCTTTGACTTTTATCCCTAACACGTGCATGCTCTTTTGTGTTCCTCCTTAGCAATTTGTTAATAATTCTATATTTTTATTTTTAAGGTCAATAAAGAATACCTGATGGAGCCATGCTGGCCTCTAAATATTCTTTCTATTTTTCCTTGAAATTTGGATTGAGACAATATTAAAGGCACATCTTCAAACTGAGAAACTGCCAGCTCTTCTTTTTCCCCTTATATTTTTTCTATTACACCTACCCACCAGTTCTCAGTTTATTAGTGTGGGTAGGTGTAATAGAAAAAACGTATTACATGTATTGTCCTTCCTTCATAATCACTTTCACCCTGATAGCCTGGCATATTCAGATTCACTAGCAATTCCCTCCTGTTAGTCAGAATCAGGCCTAACCTGTCTGTTTCCCTGATTACTTCCTTCACTTTCTGAAATGAAATGTTGTCTCCAATACAGTCCAATAACTTACTGGAAATTTTGGTTTTTGTCATATTTTTAAACATACCTGGGTAGTTAAATTTCCCATTACAACTAGGTCTTATATTTTGGATATTTCAGTTATTTGTTCAAGAAATACCTCATTGTCTTCCTGATTTAGTAGTCTGTAGGAGTCCTCCACTATGACATCACTCCTTTTTTTTAACCCCTTTTATTTTTTTCAACTGGTCTGCCTCTCACCATCTCATGGACCTCAGAATAAGTCTATTTATTCTTGATGTATAAAGCAAAACCTTCTTCCATTTATCCAGCCAGTCCTTCCTGAACAAACTAACAAACTATGCTCCTTCATACCAATATTCTAGTCATGAGTCACATACTATGTCTCTGTCTTAATAGAAGACTATTAAACAAATTAAGGAAAGAAGGGATTTCCTGCATAATAACACAAGGTCAAAGAATTTCACCTGATAATCGCTGCATCATTACTTCTCTTTGATCTATAATATTCCATCCAAAAAAAAATACCCGTGATTGATTTAAAGACTTTAGGGTGTTCCAAAAGTTATTTATTTTTGCTGTTAAAAATATGAAATTCATATCTAGTCTGAATTTATCTAGTTTCAACTTTCAGCCATTTAATTTCATGTCTATTTTTTCTGTCAAATTAAGAGAACTCTATTAGAAATATCTTCCCTTTGTAAGTACTTGTACATCATGATCAAGTTACTTCTTAACCTTCCCTTAGATAAATAGACTGAGTTTCTTTAAGTGGCTCATTGCAAAGCATATTTTTCAGACTTCAAATCACTCTTGTAGCACATTTTCTCAATTTTTCAATAAAGTAGTAAGTTCTGACATTCAAGTCTGCAAACTTCCTAAATGAGTGCTCTGTCACTTGAGTTCAAGTATTGGCTGCATGATATAAGACAAATGAGGAGCATCTTTTCTATTTTATCCTCCTCTCTTCAGAAGTGGCAATGAAATGAGATAGCTTAACATCCTTTATATCTCTTCATTTATATCTTAGAGCTATGAATGTTTATAGAGAAGGCCAATTCATTGGAAGAGCAGTGGCCCAATAAAGAACATATGAATAGAACTAGGTACAAATTGTTTCTGCTCTGTGAAAATTTGATTGTATGTGAGAATCCCATACTGAATCAGGAGAACGTCGAAAATTCTCAAAATGTTCAAGAACTAAAACTCCAGAATATTCATTTTCAGTAATCAAAAGGTTCAAATAATTTTGAAGTGTTTTCATTTTGAAATATTTTCCTTGTTTCGGGAATTTTTATTTTTTTCCCTTCTTTCATGGTCTCTATTCTAAAATTTTGAAATGAAAAGTTGCTTTAGCTCAAAAACCTGAAACTTTCTGGATTGACAACATTAAAATACGGCCAGTTTGATAGTATCAAAACTTTCTATTTTAACTGAAAATATTACAAGTCAGGCACAGAGTAATTTATTAAATCCAACATTATTTCATGAGCAGTTTCAGTTTAGACAAAATCGATTGAGAGTGGGAGAATTTTCTGACCAAATCTACAAATGAATTCTTTCACAGATATTTCTCCATACTCTGTAATGTAGACAATGCAAACTGCAGGAACTGAAACACACAATATTTCACATAAGAGCCTTTCCATCCATCTCTTCCATGTATTCAGCAAAAACAATAATTTTCTATGCCACCTGTAACTAATGACTCAAATGGTAAACATTTAATTATGGAATCTGTCATATAAACAAACTTATGTTAATTCATTTAATTTATCAAGAGAACTTGATTTCACCATGTCTCCCTCTCGCCCCCCTTATAACTGAGCCATGCCTTTGTTAATTTTACTAAGATAATATAAATGAGCTTAGGAAAGCAGAAATAAAAGTGATTAGTAATCAATCACTACCACTGAAATCCTTCCACCAATGTAAGTGAAAAATTACAAAAACACTTTTCCTCCAAAAACATGAGAGGTTTTGCTCAGGACATTTCCCTCATGTAAGTGGTAGCTGTGCAAAGAGACAATAGCCTTGTGACAGAAGATTATTCTATGTTTAGGTCAAAACTAGTGTGAAAACAGCTACAAGAGTCTGCTGTGCTCAAATGAGCAGGAAATCTCAAACGTATAGAGGCCACCCACATTTTACGCATGGTAGGCTGTATTCAGAAAGAATCTGAGTTGTTTCAGGCTGTGTCTAAATTATCAAGTTCTATCGGAAAAAGATATGCAAATTACAAACCGCAACTTGTATATCTTTTTCTGCTTTTCTTCCGAAAGAGGCTTTTCCGACAAATGGCCCATTTATACTGAGCCAAATGTCATGGGAAAAAGCTTCTTTGGGAACATCCCTTCTCTTTTGAAAAGGAAAAAATTAAAAACAACAAATAGACTAGTAGCACCTTAAAGACTAACAAAACATGTAGATGGTATCATGAGCTTTTGTGGGTGCAACCCCCTTCTTTAGATGATTTCCTTTTCAAAATAGATTGTGTTCTGCAAATAGTTTGGATGGGAGTGATATGGAGAGAGTCACCCTCATGTTGTTGTTTTTACTTTTATGGCTGTTGGTTTGTCTTGCCACTTTGTATCACACAGAAAAATCCTGTCACAAAAAACAACAACCCCAAAAATGCATTGTCCAGGTAAATACCCATAGAATAAATTGCACCTGAGAAAAGTAAAATTGAAATATAGAAGTTAAAGCTACTGAATGACACCCAGGAATGTTGTGGGTGTAAAGTTTATGTTGGGCAAATCATTTGACTTCCTGATATTTAATTCAGCTCTGCTCCAAATTTGGATAGGTATTTTGAAAAGAAAACGTCTCCTTTATTCTATTTGCATTCAAAAGAGGTGATGCCTTGGACTATCTTTCTTAATCTAGCACTGAATTTTATAAGAATATATCAGTCAGTAAGAATTAAGGTGCACTCTGACAGGGAACTCAGAAGAAAGGGTTGTTTCAGATAAGGAGTATTTATTTAAAGAGATGTGCACTGTATATGGGCAAAGAGAAGGCAGGAGGAAGAAAGAGAACAACCCAGCAGCATTGAACAGGATTTGGCTTAGTGTTTTATTTTAAATTAAATTCCTTACCAGTGCCATGATGAGACATACACAAGCCCCAAGATAGATGGGAGAGGTGTTTTGTTTGTTTTAATCTTGGACTGATTAATTATAATGTTACTAGTACATTTATATAATTTACCAAACAGGGACATAAATACATTCAGATGAGCATGGTGGTTGTCAGTTCGTGAAAGAGACTGTTTTGTTCTTCAGGAATCAATCTGTAGTCTCAGCACCTTCACAAGCACACAGTTCCCTGGGAATAAAGAACTTGCCAGTACACTTCCCCAAATTATTACCTTGAATGCTTCTTTTGAAGAAGGCCTTACAGCCCTCGCAAGACCAGACTCCATAATGATATCCTGAAGCATAGTCATTGCAGACAGCACAGTAACGGGTTTCCTTGGTGGATTCCATGGACAGGCTGCCCTTTTCACTGGTGCTGGACATCCTCTCCCTGCTCCCTTGGCGCCTGTTATCTGAGCTTGGCCTGTAAAATGAACATTCGGTGAATGCATTGACATTAAAAAGTCTCATCCTCCCCCAAAAGCTATGAGGCTCTAAGAGAGAATAGCATGCCTATGTTTCCAAATACCAGTATGTCAACCTGGTGGCACTCTCTCTTGTTTCCAGCTGCTGAGCTACATTACAAGATAAACACTTTAACATTATTTTTACAGGTAAGCAATTGCCAGAGACGTGTTATGTGACCCCAAAGCGGAAAGGAGGAAAAGGAATAGGAATGGAAATGATCTGGGGACTGCAAATGGGAGGGAAAGTGGCCATTGAGACATCTTGTTGAGACATGGTCCACACAATGAAAATATTGAACCACAAAGCTATTTTGAGAAATAGAATGCAATGGGCTGACACAGAATCATGAACCAATACCACTAAAATTATTTGTGTTACTATTTAACATTTTATCCACTTACCAAATAAAAGCTTATTTAATTTTCAATTCTTGAACAGGTGTCAGTTATCTTACCAGGATCACATGACTTTGTCCTAGCCAACTACATTGTGCTTCTGAATCTAACAAATCAGACCTTCCCTCCAGGTTTCTCCTTTAAGGGCTGACATTTTGTTCTTTTCCCCACTTACTGCAGCAAAAATTCCTGTTTTGTTTTGTTTTTTAAATGAGACATCTGGAACAAACAGTAACTTTGAGCTCCTAGCCAAAACTCTGGAACAATTCTCCAAAGACTCCCAGTCTGAAATTCCATCTTCCTTTCAACTAGCTAAAATCCCCCCAATTTCTCCTGCCACTGTCCTATCTCCCAAGTATCCACCCAAAATTTCCTGGAAACATTCCCACACCACTCCCAACTGCTACCACTCATACCTGTCAAAACTCTTGTGCCTTCCCTAACCAAATTAATTGACATTGAACTGGCAATCAACTACTTGTGACTTACGGAAGTCGAAAACAGCTGTGAACAGTGAAATGCTGATATGCCAGAACTCTGGCTTTCTGGAGGTTCTAGAAAGTATGAAAGTGTCAGAATTTCTGACACCCTAAGTATGACCAAAATATGCAAAGTAACATGCTTTCGGATGTAATTCAAATTTAAAAGGAGATGATATTGGTTAAAAATTTATACAGTAGTATCCATTTATTTATATAGTAGTAACCATTCTTCCTCCCTTCTTAGGTCTACTTTTAACATTTTCTATTTTTTCCCTCATGCCACACTTAGAGGCATCATTTATTGTCCTTCATTGCTATGATTTTTCCCTTTGAAGCTGTTTTACCTCAGTGTCTCATTTAATTACATCCCTTGTATCATGTCACTTGACTATTACTTCTAACATGTTGCCTAGATTTATAATAGGTAAATGAAGTTGAGAACTAATTAAACCTGCATTTTTTTAAATTTCCCTATATCCTTCTACCACATCAAAGCTGCCAGACTATCCCTTCCCTTCCAACATATGCAGTTGCCAAACCTACTGATACCATTACATAGTGAAGGAGAAGAGACACCTCCACAATCCAGTTTTGCTGCTTTTCTGAGATTCCAAACTTTCCCAGTGGGCCAATTGGAAGGGAAAATACTTCACAGCAACAGGGCCAGCTGAAGAAGTGGGTAGTGCTGGCAGGGAAAAGGAAGACTAGTTTGGAATTGTAAGCAGAATTCATGGCTTAACCCTGCCTCAGTGTGAACACAGATCTTTCTTCTTGTCCCCTACCCTCAGCAGCCTCAACATAATTCAGGAAATTAACTGGAAGGATTTTCTGAAGTTTTCAGCGAATTCCAATGAAAATAAAAAATAATCAAAATACCTATGGCCATATTTTAACAATGATACCCTATACACCAGTTTAGGTGGATGAGATTATGCTTTTTATTATTAATTACAATGATTAATAGATTTCAAGTCTGAAAGGGATAATTATGATCATCTAATCTGATCTCCTGTGTAGAGGCCAGGTGTTACAAAGTATTTTATATAATAGACACTCAATAAAGTTTGAGGATAATACCAAGCTGGGAGGGATTGCAAATGAGGGACAGGATTAATATTCAAAATTATCTGGAAAACTGGAAAATGATTTTTTGTAAATAGGATGAAATTCAATATGGACAAATGCAAAGTACTCCTCTTATGAGGGAACAATCAGTTGCACACATATAACATGGGAAATGACTGCCAAGGAAGGAGTATGGCAAAAAGGGATCTGGAAGTCACAGTGAATCACAATCTAAATATGAGTGAACAGTGTAACACTGTTGCAAAAAAAGGGGGGGGGGGGAAGAGGGGACACAACATCCGGGATGTATTACCAGAAGTGTTGTGAGGAAGACACAAAACAATTCTTCCAATTTACTCCTAGAATAACAGGACAGATGTGGACAAATTGGAGAAAGTTCAAGGAAGAGCAAGAAAAATTATTAAAGGTCTAGAAAATGTGTCCTATGAAGGAAGACTGAAAAAACTACATTTGTTTAATGTGGAAAAGAGAAGATTCAGGATATAACCATTTTCAAGTACATTAATGATTTAGATGGAGACAGGAGCAATTATTCTCTGAAATCACTGATAACAGGACAAGAAATGAGCTTAAATTGCAGCAAGGGATGTTAGGTTAGACATTGGGAAAAACTTCCTGTCCAAGTGATTAAACACTAGAACACATTTCCCAGGGAAGTTATGGAATCTCCATCACTGGAGATTTTTAAGAGCAGGTTAGACAAACATCTGTCAGGGTGGTCTAGATATACCTTAGTACTGCCATAAGTGAAGGGACTGTACTAGATGACCACTCAAAGTCCCTTCCAGTCCTATGTCTCTGTGAAGCTAAGCAGATTGAGCTCCTTAAGTCTATCACTATCAGGCATGTTTTCCAATCCTTTGATCCATATCATGGTCACTTTTCTGAAGCCTCTCCAAATTTAAAGACCCACTTCTTAAACTGTGGACACCCAAAATGGAATAGTATTCCATCAGCAGTGGCATCAGTGCCAAAAGCAGAGTAGCAGAACCTCTCTGTTCTTCCTCGAGATTTTCCTATCTACATATCCAAGGTTTGCAGCAGCCCTTTAGGCCACTGTGTTGTGTGGTAGAAGGTCCCAATCTGCTGATTATTCACCATGACCCTCAAATCCTTTTCAGGGTCATTGCTTCCCAGGATAGAGGCCCCTATCCTGTAAGTATGGCCAAATTCTACATTTACATTTGTCTCATTAAAATGTACAGTGTGCTTTACCAAGTTTACCAAGTAATGTAGATCTCAATTTATAGTCTGAATTATTTCCCACTCCACCTGTTTGTAGGTCACCTGCAAACTTTATCAATGGTGATTTTATGGTTTTTTTCAGGTCATTGATATAAATGTTAACTAGTATAGGATGAAGGACCAATCCCTGCTTCTGCTCAGTGATGATTCTCCATTTACAAGTATATTGAGATCTGTTAGCCAGTTTTAAACTAATTTAAATATATACCATTTTCGATCATTCAAGGTTGCTGTGGTGCGGGGGAGGGAGTTAACCAAAACACTGAGTAATATCAAGTCAAATGCCTTACATAGGTCTACGTATGTTCCATCAGCACTATTACCTTTATCGACACATTTGTAATCCTATCAAAAGAAAAAAAAAGGTTGTTTGACATGATCTATTTTCCAAAGATACATGCTAATTGGCATTAGAACATTACACACCTTTCTTTTTCTTATTGAGTCCCATATCAACTACTCTGTTACCTTCCCCAGTTTCAATGTGCCTTGCCTCAGCTTCCCTAATAACAGAAACAGTTGCAAGAGAGAAACACAGTGTCTCCACTGTGGGAATTCCTACAGCTGTGAACCACTCATGGGAATGAGTGTTAACTGAACCAAAAGTGGGATTAAATGTTTCATTGCTATTGCCACGTGCTAATTACCGCTGAACCACTTGTCCCAAATAGCAAGCATCAAATGTTTGCCAGCTATTCTAATTCAGCTGTACAGGGCTTACTGCAGTTAAGGACAAGTCACTTTTTAAAAAGGTTGCAGTAAAAGGCATCATTATTTCAGCAAACATTTGGAGACCTTCAATCATCAGGGTAGTCTACCAAACCATTTTAGATCACACCACCTAAGTCATGTAAGAGCCTAAATCCTATTAATGGGCTTTGGACCAGGCCTTATTCTCTACATTCTACATTCATACTGGAGCTCACCGAACACACCTTAATGATGCCTTCAGTGGTTCCCATGTTTGAAATAGGTTAGGATTTCCCAGTGACAGTGAATTTAAGCAGAGTTTTTGAAAGGTTCAAAGCCTCATTAATAAATACATATACCTAAGGTTCTTTCTTCATTGTGTTTTTGATGGGATAAGAATGATTTTATTTTTTACCAAAATGTTCATGTCATTTCTGGAAAATGCATGAATAAACTGTAATATTGCAACAGTCTTCTTATCTTGTTAGTTACAGAATCATATAGCACTAAGACCAAAATGGAAGCAAGAATGCATGGGATGAAGATTGAAGTGAGTCAGAATTTATGACTGTGTGCACCTGAAATTATGCTCATATTATAGACAGCTGCTTTTTCTACTCCATAATTTGGGATTGCTCCATTTTGGTTTGGATTCAAAATTATATTTAAAAATCTGAAGCAATACTGCCATATATCATTCGGTTGCTTCCAAACATTGCATCAAGATTCTTGGGTGTGGTTTAATGCTGTTGTAACATGAATATCATGCATAAAAAAAGCCCCAGAAATCTACAGCTGAATCTTGGTAATTCACTATGACTATTGAGACCCATTGCAAATTAATAAACTCAGGGAAATACAAATAAGCAAATACTTAAAGTGGAGATAATGTGTCATAGACTATGCTTTGTTTATTTGACAAGTATGGTTTAGTTTTAATTATTTATGTTATTATTTATTGTATTATTTATATAAATACATTTCAAGGCAGGTTATCAAATTAATAGTAATATTTTCTGCAGTATAATTTGCAAGTATAATGGACTTATAAGAACACC